TGGTCTTCGCCGGCGGCGTTCCTCTTCATGGGCTTCTTGGTTTGTCCTGCCTGGCGCTCACCTCCCCCCTTGTGTCTGCACACTTCCGGCATCAACCTGGAGAATGTTCCAGCCTCAGATGTTTCCCGCCCTTGTTCCTTCTGACAGCTCTCAGGCACCCCTTCCTTATCCTCTCTCTCCCCTCTCCCCTCTCCCCTCTCCCCTCTCCCCTCTCCCCTCTCCCCTCTCCTTCTCATATTTATTTGTAAGGCAAAGTGACAAGGGGTGAGGGGGGAGAGAGAACACGCTTCCATCTCCTGGTTCACTCCCCAAATGCCTGCATCAGCCAGGGCTGGGCCAGGCTGGAGCCAGGAGCCAGGAGTTCCGTCTGTGAGTGGCAGGGGCCCAAGCACGAGGGCCATCACTTCCCAGGTGCATGCTGGGAGGAAACTGTCGGAAGCAAAGGCGGGACTCGATCCCAGGCACCGTGATACGAGGGGCAGGCGTCCAGCCCGGCGGGCAGCAGCTTCACCCACTGCGCCACACACCAGCTCTCCCTTCCTCTCTTCATCCCTTCAGCTCTGAGGTCTCTCCAAGGATTTCTTGTTATTTATTTGTTTATTTTATTTTTTATTAGTTAAAAGCCAGAGTTAATGAGAGAGGAGAGACAGAGAGATCTTCCATCCGCTGGTTATGCCCCAGATGACCACAGCAGTAGGGACTGGGCCTGGCTGGAGCCAGGAGCTGCTTCTGGGTCTCCCACATGGGTACAGGGGCCCGGGCACTCGGGCCATCCCGTGCTGCTCTCCCAGGCCGTTAGCAGGGAGCTGGGTCGGACGCGGAGCAGCCGGGGCTTGAGCTGGCTCCCTTAGGGGACCCGGCGCTGCAGGGGGCGGCTCTGTGTCCTTGCTCGTCTTCCTCATTCTCTGCGAAGCCTCCGTGCATTGACCCCAGCGCTGGTTCTGCCTTGGTGTTAGCAGCTGCCCTTCTGAAGCCTCGTCTGCCTGGGCCAGCCTCGGCTTTGTTGTCGGGGTCGGGTCCAGCCGGTGTGTTTTCTGTCCAGAACGCGGTGTGTTTCCTCGGTCCTTTGGCTGCCAGGAGCCCTGGGGCATGCCTGGAGGCTGCGCGCACCCAGCCCCTTGCGTCCTCTCTCTGCCTTGGACTACTTCCTGCCAGGGCTCGGGCCCCCAGAGTCTGTTTCTAGGTGGCTGCCCTGGTTGTGTTGAGATCGGTTTCTGCTGTCACTGGGGCTGCTCCGGGCCTGCTCTGCGCAGGATGGCTAGGCAGCAGGGGGTCTCTCGTGGCACCGTCTGCTGTTTCAAGGCTTCCCTTCCCTGGTTCTTTGCCACGCGTGTCCCACCCTTGCTGTCCTGCGTGTGACAAGACTGGCCAGCAGCAGGGTGGCTGGTGCGGGGACGGGACCCGGTCCTGGTCCTCGCACCTCGAGCCCAGCCTTCTCTGCATACTGCCCGTCCACCCCGCATCTGCCGTGTGCGTGTGCGTGTGCGGGCGATGACGCGCGCCCAGGGTTCCGGGGGGCTGTCGGCTGTCCTTGGGTGCCCCCACTCCGCCCCGGACCCCTCCGGCCTGCGTTTTTCAGTGCAGCAGGAGGTCTGTTAGGGAAGGGTCTCTCGCCGGGATCGTTGGTGCTGCCGCTGACTCCTTCCCGCCGGGTCTCCTGCCGGCCCCTGCTGCGGCAGGGCGGTGGGGCTGGGCCTCCCTCAGGAGCCCTCCTGGCCAGCAGGCCTGGGGGGCCCTGGCCTCTCGGCTCGCGCACTGGGAGAGCCCATGGCAGGACCAAGCTCTGGTCTTTCTGCACAGGGCATTGCCGGGGTCGTGAGGACGTCCGGGCCCTGCCCAGGAGGGGTGCCCTCAGCCCCTCGCTCACATACTCCCCCTGGGCCCCAGCCAGCCGTGGGCCGGCCTCGAGCCGTGCGGGGTTGGAGAACTTACCCACTGCTTCCAGGGGCGGGCAGGGGAGGTGCCTCGGCAGTGTGGCCCTGTGAGGACAGAGTCCGGGCCCAGGAGCGCTGCCCGACAGGTGACGGGGCTCATCACAGGGCTCAGCGATTTTCCAAGTGAGGTAGGGGAGAGCTGGGACTCCCAGCAGCAGGACAGCAGAGGCAGAAGTCCTGGGTGGACTGGAGGGCAGTGGGCTCTGGGTGAGAGCGGTGGGTACAGTGGGCAGTGGGCACTGGGTGAGAGTGGTGGGTACAGTGGGCCGTGGATACTGGGTCAGAGCAGTGGGTACAGTGGGCAGTGGGTACTGGGTGAGACTGGTGGGTACTGTGGGCTATGGGTACTGGGTGAGACTGGTGGGTACAGTGGGCAGTGGGTACTGGGTGAGACTGGTGGGTACTGTGGGCCGTGGGTACTGGGTCAGCGGTGGGAACAGTGGGCAGTGGGTACTGGGTGAGACTGGTGGGTACTGTGGGCTGTGGGTACTGGATCAGAGTGGTGGGTACTGGGGAGAGCAGTGGGTACTGGGTGAGAGTGGTGGGTACTGGTTGAGAGCAGTGGGTACAGTGGGCAGTGGGCACTGGGTGAGGGCAGTGGGCACTGTGGGCAGTGGGTACTGGGTGAGGGCAGTGGGTACTGTGGGCAGTGGATACTGTGGGCAGTGGGTACTGGGTGAGGGCAGTGGGTACTGTGGGCAGTGGGCACTGGGTGAGGGCAGTGGGCACTGTGGGCAGTGGGTACTGGGTGAGGGCAGTGGGTACTGTGGGCAGTGGGCACTGGGTGAGGGCAGTGGGTACTGGGTGAGGGCAGTGGGCACTGGGTGAGGGCAGTGGGCACTGTGGGCAGTGGGTACTGGGTGAGGACAGTGGGTACTGTGGGCAGTGGGCACTGTGGGCAGTGGGTACTGGGTGAGGACAGTGGGTACTGTGGGCAGTGGGCACTGTGGGCAGTGGGTACTGGGTGAGGGCAGTGGGTACTGTGGGCAGTGGGCACTGGGTGAGGGCAGTGGGTACTGGGTGAGGGCAGTGGGTACTGGGTGAGGGCAGTGGGTACTGTGGGCAGTGGGTACTGGGTGAGGGCAGTGGGTACTGTGGGCAGTGGGTACTGGGTGAGGGCAGTGGGCAGTGGGCACTGTGGGCAGTGGGTACTGGGTGATGGCAGTGGGTACTGAGGGCAGTGGGTACTGTGGGCAGTGGGTACTGGGTGAGGGCAGTGGGCACTGGGCAGTGGGCACTGTGGGCAGTGGGTACTGGGTGAGGGCAGTGGGTATTCTGGGCAGTGGGTACTAGGTGAGGTCAGTGGACACTCTGGGCAGTGGGTACTGGGTGAGGTTAGTGGGTACTGTGGGCAGTGGGTACTGGGTGAGGGCAGTGGGTACTGGGTGAGGGCAGTGGGCACTGTGGGCAGTGGGCACTGTGGGCAGTGGGTACTGGGTGAGGGCAGTGGGTACTGTGGGCAGTGTGTACTGGGTGAGGACAGTGGGTACTGTGGGCAGTGGGTACTGGGTGAGGGCAGTGGGTACTGTGGGCAGTGGGCACTGTGGGCAGTGGGTACTGGGTGAGGGCAGTGGGTACTGTGGGCAGTGGGCACTGTGGGCAGTGGGTACTGGGTGAGGGCAGTGGCACTGTGGGCAGTGGGCACTGTGGGCAGTGGGTACTGGGTGAGGGCAGTGGGTACTGTGGGCAGTGGGTACTGGGTGTGGGCAGTGGGCACTGTGGGCAGTGGGTACTGTGGGCAGTGGGTACTGGGTGAGGGCAGTGGGTACTGTGGGCAGTGGGTACTGGGTGAGGGCAGTGGGCACTGGTGGGCAGTGGGTACTGGGTGAGGGCAGTGGACACTCTGGGCAGTGGGTACTGGGTGAGGTTAGTGGGTACTGTGGGCAGTGGGTACTGGGTGAGGGCAGTGGGCACTGTGGGCAGTGGGCACTGTGGGCAGTGGGTACTGGGTGAGGGCAGTGGGTACTGTGGGCAGTGGGTACTGGGTGAGGGCAGTGGGTACTGTGGGCAGTGGGTACTGGGTGAGGGCAGTGGGCACTGTGGGCAGTGGGCACTGTGGGCAGTGGGTACTGGGTGAGGGCAGTGGGTACTGTGGGCAGTGGGTACTGGGTGAGGGCAGTGGGCACTGTGGGCAGTGGGCACTGTGGGCAGTGGGTACTGGGTGAGGGCAGTGGGTACTGTGGCAGTGGGTACTGGGTGTGGGCAGTGGGCACTGTGGGCAGTGGGTATTGTGGGCAGTGGGCACTGTGGGCAGTGGGTAACTGTGGGCAGTGGGCACTGTGGGCAGTGGGTACTGGGTGTGGGCAGTGGGCACTGTGGGCAGTGGGTACTGGGTGTGGGCAGTGGGCACTGTGGGCAGTGGGTACTGGGTGTGGGCAGTGGGCACTGTGGGCAGTGGGCACTGTGGGCAGTGGGGGAGGTGGTTCTGCTGTCTGCGCGTGTCCAGGTAGCCCAGGTGCAGGATCCGAGACCCAGGGCGAGGGGCGCGTCCCTGGGCTGTGGAAAGGATCCTGAGTGGCCTGGGTGCGGGAGGACGGGCTGGGCCCGGGGCTGATTGGGCTCTGGTGTGGCCCTGCCTGCAGAGGGGCTCGGGCCGGGTGGTGGCAGGGCCTCCCTGCTCTGAGACGCAGCATCGGGAGGGGGAGGGGGGCCCCGAGGCTGGGGATTTTCGGTGGGCTTCCCCCGCCTCATCAGAGGCTGGGCCCCACCCAGCTCACCTGCCCTGGCCTCTGGGATTTCCACGGACCACACGGGAGACGCTGGGAGGGCCCAGGTGGGCCGGGACCTCCGCATGACAGCTGGTGCTCTGGGCAGCCGGAGGTGGGGGCAGGAAAGGCCGAGCCGGTCCTCCTCCATCCCTGGGCCACTGGATGAGGGCAGTGGGTACTGTGGGCAGTGGGTACTGTGGGCAGTGGGTACTCCTGGAAGCCACGAGAGGCGCCCACACAGGCAGCCAGGCTGCTGGGGAGGAACGGGCCTGTGGCCTTGCTGCTGGTGGCCGGTGGGGCGGGTTGGAGCGGAGGCCGCGGGGAGCCTGCGCACGAGCCCCTCCCCCTCCTGTCGCAGGGACGGAGTTTGAGTACACGGACTCGGAGAGCGAGGTCAAGGTGCGCAAGCAGTCACCTGCCGGGCTGCTGCGGCCCAAGAAGGGGCTGGGGGAGCCGGGGCCCG